ACTTTTCTTAGCATTATGGACTTCTTAAGGGAGTTGGATCTTTCCATATGGTGTCCAAAATATGATAATTTGAGTCTATTCATTTGTGCCTTGATTGAGAATTCTAGATGGATTTATTCTATGAGCCTTTTGTTGTCTTGGCTATTGATAATATTCTTAAGAGTCATCTCAAACACCAGTGTTCAAAAGTATTAATACCTTTTGCTTTCCTGCTTCTTTGAAGTCCAATTTTCACTTCCATAGATTGTCACAGGGAGAACTCTTGCTTGCACAATTCTATTCTTCATGCATAAAGACAGGTCACAGCATCTGAATATCTTGTTCAAGGTGATCACTAGTATCCCACGCCAAGTGCTAGTCTATTTGCTATCTGCTGGTTCCTTTAAGGTTTCCTAAATAGGCTGAAACTACCCACTATTTCCATAACTTAATTTTCAGTACTAAACAATTATGTAACTAAACATTATATAAAAAGAAAAAAATATGAAATAGGTAAAGAAAAATTGCCTAGACTGTGAAAAAACTTTAATGTTTTGTAGAAATGGGATGGTTGGTCTCATTGTACGGAAATCAATCTCATCACTCAAATAATGTTAGCCTAATTATTCATGCAAAGTATTTTAATGAGCCTGTTAGTCTAGGATGGCCATGGAATCCCAACAGGAAACAGACACTCATAAATGAAATAATAAAATCAAATAAAATCCTCCTTTTGTGGGATGTTCTTCTTGCTTCACAATTTAATGAAACGGCTTAAAGCTCTTTTGTTCCCAAAAAGAAGTAACCACAACTTCATTTGGGCTTGTGGGTGTGAATAGTAGAATTTCAAAAATACAAGATTTCACCATGTCCCCTTGTTTCAGTTACTGTATATAGAACCCCAAACACAATTACATGGAACAGATTCATATTACTAATTTTAAAAAGAGCCAAAGAACATGGATAGAGATGAACTGATTTGCACATTTTCTAGCCCAGATCAAATTAGGCATTGCTGATTTTATCTGTTGTTCTAATCATGTCTTTTGACTTGCTTGTTTTTCATTGAAACTCGGTAGCCAAGTTATCCAGCACTTGCCAAAGCTTTGTGTTGCAAATTTTAATCTTTGGCAACTGGCTTTAGCCATTACATGATTAGAACCTCACCCATGAATTCTTCACAAGTGTCAAACTCTCACAAAGACAATGGACATGAGGGCCCCCAAATCTTTTAATTCCAACCACTTTTATCCTCTGTTTCTCTCAGAGACGTCTAGTGCCTTAAGCCTTGTGGAGTCTAATAAAAGTCCTTCTATAAGATGTTTTAAGACAAAAATCAGAGTGATTTCTTATTTTATAGAGCTGCTAAGTTATTTATGGGAGATATTTGTAGCTTGCTTGTGTTTTTTTTCTTAAAAAGTGCCTCTAAAATGGTCCCATAAAATATTAACTGCTCTTCTCCCCTCCCAAAATGCATGAATGTGTCTTCAGAATTCACACTTGATTTCACGTTAAAGCACTTATTTCACACTAAAACATGAAGTAAAAAAAAATGCTATAAGATGGTTGGGGTGATATTGTATGCGAAAAAGTCCTTCCTTGTTTCTCAGGTCTCCTATCACTTATCTTTGTTGTCTAACTCATAGTTCAGGTATGATGATGTTACTGTTATTGATGTCAGGACGATGTTTATTTATTTATTTATTGGTTCGATTATTACCTAGTTTGGGTAATGAAACATCTGCAAGAAAACAACCAAGCTCAGAGAGCACCAAGGAGCCCTCAGTGCAGGTATTGTTAGAAAAGGAGGAAATGGTGTCCCTGTACCCCAAAACAGACAACATTTTGAGGATGAAGCTCCACACTTTTTATTTATTTATCCAATTGGGGAGCACAGATCATGGAGAATGGGACGGGCGATGCTGTAATGACATCGCTGGAGAAATGATATCGAGACTTTTTTTTTTTTTTTAATTTGATTTATATGCCGCCCTTCTCCGGAGACTCAGGGCGGCTTACAGTGCATTAAGCAATAGCCTTCATACTTTTGTATATTTATACAAAGTCAGCTTATTGCCCCCACAAACTGGGTCCTCATTTAACCTACCTTAGAAAGGATGGAAGGCTGAGTCAACCTTGAGCCTTGGAGAGATTCGAACCAGCAGTAAATTGCAGGCAGCTGTGTTAATAACAGGGTGCTTTAAACCACTGTAGTACCAAGGCTCAGAATTTTCTCTTCCACCAGGTTATTGAAGTTTTTGGAAGGGCAACTCCTACCGATATCAGGCTGTACAAAGATTAGATTTGGCTGTATTTGAAAGATGCGATCGTTCCAAATCAGATTATCAATTTGGATTGAACGGTTTGCCTCTAAACTGATCTGATTCTAGGACCTTTTGTGCATTTTCCGCCCTAAATCGAATCAACTTTCTGAGTTGGAAGAAGAAAAGTCTTCCAGTGAAATGTTCGTGGAGGAAGTTGGGTGTCCTGACATTTATTTCATTTCAAGAGGACTGAGAAACGGATATGGATGTCTTTTCTTTCCTTGCATCATCATCATCTCTTGAATGGTCTTCAGCCTCCATGACTTCAATCAAGTCAGGAGAAAACTTCCCATGGGAATTTCTGAGGAGTGGTGCTAATGTCCCAGTTAAAGGAGAGTCCCATCCTTGAGAAGTAATTGCAGAATTTCTTCTGCAATTTCTGGAAACAAAAATTCATAAAGACCCATCCAATTATAGTCTGCCTGCATTATAGAAATTTGAAAGGCCATGGGTGTGCCTGATTGAGTGGTGCGGTGGCCTAGAGGTGGAGCTCTTGCCTCACAAGAATTCTGTGAATTCGATCCTAGGTAGAGGCAGATATTTCTCTCTGGGCACGATGATAATATATCTGCTGAACATAACTCTGCATTGGCGACAGGAAGGGCATGTGGCCAGTAATTACTCAGCTCCATTCAGTTGCCCAGAGTCCACCCTGCAAAGGATTGTGGGGTCATTAAAAGATGATGATGATGATGATGATGAGTGTGCCTGACTCTACTGGATATCCTTCTCCTGTAAATGATTCTACTTTGGCTATTGTTTTATTCTATATTGGCTGTAAAAGATATCATAGGTAGCTCGATTCATTAAGAAGGACAACAGCAACTGGGTTTTCTTACTTTTGAAGGAAGCATATTAAGGTGAGACATATCATGCATACCATAAATAATGTGGACAGGGAGAAGTTTTTCTTCACAATTTGACATAATCTATTGAAACTAGAGTCAGGAATCAAATCTCACCGGCTCAAGGTTGACTCAGCTTTCCATCCTTCCGAGGTGGGTAAAATGAGGACCCAGATTGTTGGGGGCAATATGCTATTTAGTAAACTGTCTTTGGTGTAAGCCACCCAGAGTCCTCAGAGAGTGGGCGGCATAAAAATATGACTAATAAAATAAAAAGAAAAAAGAAAAAAGAAAAAAAAAAGAAACTAGATTCAGGACAATTTAGGACCAATTATTCTTTTTTCTTTAATCCAGTGTATGATTAAACTGGAATTCACTGCCAACTGACATGATAACAGAAGCCAATCTGGATGGTTTGAAAAGTCATGTTCATGGACAATCGGTCTATATCCTGATGATTTGCATAAGACATAAACTCATTTAATGCATGTCAGGGTTCCAAGTAACACCCCCAAGGAAAGAAAACTCCAAAGACTTCAGGAAGGCCTTGAAGTTCTCACTGCTAAGACTTGAGAGGGGGGTTTCCCATCATCTTTGTATTTTCTTCACAACCAGAAAGTATCTTTTGAGCCTATCCTGGAAGCTGTCCCTTCCTTTCCCTCCAATCCTATTACAGATGATGGGGCTTTTCATAGATAGTCTTGAACTTTTTGGAGGAGCTGCCAGTCTATCAACCGAAGGATTTTCAAGGACAGCCTCCTCAAGGCAGATGCTATTTCATTCTATCCCTTGTCCTCGTGTTCTTTCAAATGATAGGTGGGATTGTCAGCTCTGGTAGTGTGGAGACATCCCCCTCTCCTCTTATTTTAGATCTTATGTGAGCTTCGCCAGAGAAAAAGAGCCGAACATCCAGTTCGGACTAAAATTACTTAAATGGAAGACGCTTCTCTCTCTAATGTGAAGAAGTAGTTACCTTTTTCTGCCTGTAAATCTAACTAATATTATAAACTGGGGAAAAGCAGAAAGGTCAACTTTTGGTGAAATGTTTCTTTTGAATCCTGCAGACAGAACAGTAGGCAATAGCTTTCAATTATTCACACTCAACTTGCAAAAATGGGGGCCGCTGCAGGTTGCTACAGCAATCACAGGCTGGTGCCTGCCTGGCTTTGCTCTATAAGTGCTTCATCAGCATTCTGTCAGTTTTGTGATGATCTCCGTTAAAACCACCGTGGGGCTGTTCTGCCTAGGCTCACTACTTCTTCCACTCCCGTGATTCAGAATTAAGCTTCTACTGATTTCATGGCCTGGAGAAGTAAAGATTAGCGGCTTGGGATAAGTCCGCTGTGTTTTAGAATCTGCTTGTAGGGAAAGCTTTCCAGTCCATCAAATTTCCGGTCTGATGTTTTAAATTTAAAGAAAAAATCCACCGAAATTAATCTGAATGGACCTGGGGGGTGGAGAGGGGAGTTTCATTTACGTGGTAAACTTTAAAAGGTGTCTCCTCAACCTTGGTGTTTTTTTTTTTTTAAATGTGCAAGGAGGTTTGCATGCTGACAGCAGCGTCCGTTCTTTGAAGAGAAAGAGGCTTTTAAAACTCTGTCCATTTTCTCAGATGGTCAAGTTATGCAATGTTACAGGGCATTCTAAGGGATGCCAAGTAGTGTGGCATCTGAAAGACATGCTGAGCTTTTAAAACATTAATAAAGAGTGCATTAATAAAGAGCATTTAAAACCTAGTCAATAAGTCCAACTCCTTACTTTACTATGTTACCTTATCCCACCCTACTCTGTGGAAAGAACTTCTTCAAGGATGTTTTCTGGTAAGCTTCCATTCTATCACTTCTTCCAAAAATTAGATTCTACTTCAAGAGTCTAGGCTCAAGGTTGACTCAGACTTCTATCCTTCTGAGGTGGGTAAAATGAGGACCCAGATTGTTGGGGGCAATAGGCTGACTCTGTAAACCGCTTAGAGAGGGCTATAAAGCACTGTGAAGTGGTATATAAGTGCTATTGCTACTCAAAGTCTGGAAGGAATTAATTTTAATTCCTACCAAAGAAAGCCAAGAAGCTCTTCCAGATGATCTAGGGCAGTGATGGCTAAGCTTTTTGCCATCAGGTACCAAAAGCAGGGGGAGCAGTCAGGATTGAATTTGGCTTTTGAATGAATGGCAAGATACCCTCCCCCAAAAGTGGAGAGGGAAGGAAAGAGGGAGGGAGAGAGAGGGGGGGAGAGAAAAAGAGTGGGAGAGAGAGAGAGACAGAGAGAGAAAGAGAGGGAGGGAGGGAAAGAGAGAGAGGGGAAAAGAGAGAGGGGGGAAAGAGAGAGAGGGAGGAAAAGAGAGAGGGAAAAGAGAGAAGCAGAGAGAGAGGGAGGGAAAGAGAGGTGAGAGAGAGAGCAAGCACCAAGACATAATAAAAATGACAGATAAATTCAAGCTTGTTTCCAGAAAGTAGAGCAACATAATTTGGATTCAAATGAAATTAAATTAATTCAACAAGTAAATTAATTAAATTAATTCCTGTCTGTGTATTTAATCATTTGTTTCCCACTGTTCTATTAAGTATTATAATTCAGCTGCAACTTCTGGAGAGGCTTCAAACAATTTGGAGGCGGGCTGCAAGAAGATTTGAGAAGAAAGATTTCACAATCCTAGTCTAAGGCGAGCAAAGTTGACTAACAAAGAGTGGAGCGTGACAGAGGATTCAAAGCTACAGATGCTGAAGAGGAGATAAATTATGGTCCCTATTAGCCTGTTTTTCACTCTTTAGAGTTTAGACTCTCTAACTGCCCTAAGATCTAATGAAGGAACACTGTGCCATTCTTCTTTCAAAGGAGAGTCTTCCCTTCTGGCTAAGCTCTGATGTAGCTTGTTCAGCTTTTGTCTAGCATGGTGTGAGAATCCAGCCAATTCTGTCCTAATAAATAACCCATGAGGAACAGAGTTACAGTGGCAAATTATGGCTGACAAAATGATGCTATTAAGTAAAATGTGGACTTGTCGCTCTGTTCTCCCACCGAATGACTTCTGCTAATTATATTTCACTCGGTCAGTGATCTGTATCTTTGCATCAACTGGCCCTTGGAGACGTTTCTTAGGTTCCCAGCTACAGTAGTGGCCAAAATTGTGGAAACCTTTTGGGAAAAGTGTATTTTTGAGGTTTGATGGCTAATAACACCACTTTTTTTTTTTTTGAGTTTCTAGATAATCCTATTCCACTGCTGGAATGGCCTGGGAATAGCCCAGACCTTAACCCAATTGAAAATCTATGGAGCCGACTAAAGAAACTTTTTAGTCAGAAGCGACCTAGCAATAAAACCCAGTTAATAGAAGCCATCATTCAATCTTGGTTTCACATTAGAACAGCTGCAGAACTAAAAGACTTGGTTCACTCCATGGAAAGATGTTGTTAAGGCTGTAATTCATGCTAAAGGTTACCCAACTAAGTATTAACTGACATGGTGATAATTTTTGTATATCTGTTTTTTTCTATGTGTTTCACTTTTCTTCTTTATACTGTAACTGCTATGATAATAGCAAATCCTTTATAAAAGTTATTGCATTACATTCTTTATTAAATTATCTTTCCATTGATATATAATTATATGGTACTACTCCAAAAAAAAAAAAAAAGTGGTGTTATTAGCTAGTTTTAGAAAATACACTTTCCCGAAAAGGTTTCCTCAATTTTGGCCACTACTCTGCTCCTGAACAGAGCAGATCTTGGCAACTGCGATGGTTGGGGGGAAAAGGAGATGGAGACCAATCCATTTCTTATTGCTGAAAAATGGACAGGATTTGAGTTATTGATATTGTAAGCCACCCAGAATTGCTTGGTAGAGACATGGGGGCATACACATTTAATAAATAAAAACAAATAAAAATAAATTACCTCATTATGCTAAAAGCTTAAGAAATTTTCTGTTGGATGCCTGCAGTTTAGCAAAGTGTTCCAAAAACCTTTCTTAGGACCAGCGGATCAATGTTGGTCCCACTGACCACAATGTTGCTTCCTGTAGTATCTCCAAGGAGATCCTTAGGATGGGCAATCTTCCATTGGCTATGCAATTCAGGTTTGCACTCTGTGCTTCAGAATTGTCCGATGTAATGGATGGCACCAGGCTAACATTATGGGCTTGCTGATGTACTTATGAGTCACTATCTCACCTTCCAAATTTTATAGAGGCCGGATGAATGGGGAAGGAAAATATTGTTTTAATTTTAGGCAATTTAAACTAGGAATAGATCTTCGTAATAGGGACACGGTGGCTCAGTGGCTAAGATGCTGAGCTTGTCGATCGAAAGGTTGGCAGTTCAGTGGTTCGAATCCCTAGTGCCACGTAATGGGGTGAGCTCCCATTACTTGTCCCAGCTTCTGCCAACCTAGCAGTTCAAAAGCACGTAAAAAATGCAAGTAGAAAAATAGGGACCACCTTTGATGGGAAGGTAACAGTGTTCCATGCGTCTTTAGTGTTTAGTCATGCCGGCCACATGATCACAGAGACGTCTTTGGACAGTGCTGGCTCTTCGGCTTTGAAACAGAGATGAGCACCGCCCCCTAGAGTCGGGAACGACTAGCACATATATGCCAGGGGAACCTTTACCATTTACTAGACCTTTATAAATGTCATTTACATGAAGATGCAGAGACCAGACCATTTACTGAAGACTTCCATATTGAAAAGAGCGATTTATCAGATATTGAAATCCTCCCTGGGATTGAGGATGACTTGAGAAGAGTTTGTTAGAAGAAGTTAGGTTTCCTATTACTTTTCAAGTTAGGGGTTTGGCAGTTCTATACGGCTTTAGTTTATAAAATGCTTTGGAGTGGGCAATAGTCTATAAATTAATAATTGAAGGCTAATAACCAACATGACATTGCTCCTACAGCTTTTAAGCAAGGGGAGGCAGGAGGCATCGGTGAGAAACATTTTAATTATTTTTGCTTCAGGATTTATTTATTTTTTTACTTTTGCTTTTCATAATATATAGAATAGTAGCATTTCCTTTGCTGAAACGTCTGATCTGGATAATGCCTTTTCTTTTAATGAAAAGATGGAGTTGTAGAAGTGCAAAAAAAAAAAAGGTAATCAATATGATTGCAGTTTTGGAGAATCCCTTTTCCTGCAAGACAAATTTAAAGCTTTTGCCGATTTTTCTTTCTTTTCCCTTAGTTTAGAGAGAAAAAGGCAGCTGGCAGTGGGAGAATGAGTAATAAAAGAGATTTCTCAAATTAGTCATGGTGTCAAGAAAATGGATAGCCAAGTTTTTCTTCTTCTTCTTCCATCCTTCCTCTCACTCGTATAATACTGTGCAATTGATTGGTGGTAACAGATTTAAGAACAAGTAAAAGGGAAAAAAAAAGTCCATTACGCAAAGTATTGTAATGGAACTGTGACATTCACTGCCTGAAGATGTGGTGATGGCCATTAGCTTATTATAGAATAGGATTAGACTAATTTATAATGGTCTGTTACTGATGATCACAGATGGCTACATCCAATCTCTTAGAAAAGAGCCAGTAGGCTGCAGAATATTATGCTGGATTTGGGAGAAGACTATCCTAGTCAGGGTTGTTGTTTGGTTTTTTTTTTGGGATGTCAGGAGTCAGCCAACTCTGGTTATCAAAAGGCAAATGAGAAAACACCCAGCTATGCTAAGATAAACGTACTTGTTTAATATACTTATTGTATCTGAAATAATGATACAAAATAAATAAAGTGTTGATCTTGTTTTCTATTAGAATTTAAGACATGGAATAAAGATCTTAAGTTACTGAAAAGAAAATTCTAGTTGAAGATTGAGGGGTGGGTGGGAAGCTAATGATAACATAGAGCCAAGGTGGCACATGGTTAGAGTGCAGTATTGCAGGCTACTTCAGTTGACTTCCAGCTGCAGTTCGGCAGTTCAAATCTCACCAACTCAAGGTTGACTCAGGCTTCCATCCTTCCGAGGTTGGTAAAATGAGGACCCAGATTGTTGGGAGCAATATGCTGACTTTGTAAACCGCTTAGAGAGGGCTGTAAAAGCACTATGAAGTGGTATATAAGTCTAAGTGCTATTGCACTTAGGGAAAAATTTTGGATTTCACCCCTGGTTGGAACCCTGTTGTTGCTACCTTTTCTTGAGCGAATCCATCCACCATTACAAATGCCAAAGTTTCAGAATTCTCAAAAGTCGTTAACAGGCCATCCCGTCATGATAAGATGTACCATGTTAGATCTTAAGAATGAATGCTGGGTCTGTCTCAAAGGTGCTTTTCAAAAGGCAACTGGACTTTCTTGGTTTTTTTCTTGAAGATGTTTCGCTTCTCATCCAAGAAACTTCTTCAGTGAAGAACCGCAGAAGTTTCTTGGGTGTGAAGAATCCAAGAAAAGGTAGCAACAACAGGGTTCCAATCAGGGGTGAAATCCAAAATTTTTTCCTACCGGTTCTGTGGGTGTGGCATGGTGGGCATGGCAGGGGAAGGATATTGCAAAATCTCCATTCCCACCCCACTCTGGGGCCAGCCAGAGGTGGTATTTGCCGGTTCTCTGAACTACTCAAAATTTCCGCTACTGGTTCTCCAGAACCTGTTAGAACCTGCTGGATTTCACCCCTGTGTTGTGGCCCACCAGCGGCTTGCACAGATCGTGGCTGATCCCGACAACGAGGAGGCTGGTGTGGTATTGCGCCAGCAGCCTGCACAGCCGGCGCTTGTGTCGGACAGTGAGGAGTCTGAAGAGCATGTGGTGCCAGAGGCAGAGACTCAGCCAGGGCCTTCAGAACCTCCAGAGGCTCCTTCAAGTGGAGAGAGCGAAGTGGAGGAGCCTCTTCTCAGTGCTTGAGCACGCAGGGCTGCCAAAAGGCAGGAGTGGCTACTCAGGAGGAGGAAGTCTACTCGAGAGTAGGGCTTGAGGATAATTGGCCACTCCCTTAGCCTATTTAAGTCACACGCCGTTAGTAAGTTTCTTGCTGGAAACAACTTGTAATTATCATCAGAGCATTTTTGGAAAAGTTTTATCATATCTTGTTTTCTGGGCTGGTTGCCAACTTTTGCCAGACTTTGGTTTATTCTTGCTACTTAATAAATTTGATAAGGACCGTTGGTGTGTGTCAATATCCTCGGGAATCCGGAGCTGGGGCAGAACATCCTGGTTCCAACTCAGATATAGTACTTTCCATGCAAAATGGATTTCGAGAGATGCACAATGTTGTCATTTACAACTTTGCTTTATGCAGCGACTCCGTGTAGCAGCACACAGCGTCAAGTCGAGGTTCGGCAAATAGGGTACAAATAGATTAAACAAAATATAGTTTTGTAGTTCATTTTGGTTAATCACAGAGTCGGTGTTGCGAGCCAATCTTCTATAGACGAGAGCCATGGATGATTGGCATTCCATTACGATGCTCTTCAACCATTCATCAAGCAAAGTGGGGGGAGGAAGTGGGGGAAGCCAGAAAAGAAAGATCTGATGGAAAGATCCGATTCCCTTTCCCAGCTAGGCGAATTCAAAGCTCCGTGCATTATAAATCATAGCAAATGTTCTTTATAAAAAATGTATGCTATGAGTACATGTGCTGTAGTATCAGGTTTGTGATTCATGTCTGTATAGTACCTTATTACTCTAAAAACCAAGCAAAGGACAAAGGAACTGGGCTGGCGGATGGTGCTTGCTGTATACATCTTCTACCCATTTATTTATTTTTCATATTTGTATACCGCCCTACTCCCGAAGGACTCAGGGCGGTGAACAGCCATAATAAATACAAATACATATAGAAGTTAAAAACTATTAAAAACTATTAAAAACCATTAAGGAAACAAGCATCCTATCTGACGTAGAGGAATTGGGTTCAGCATCTTCCAGGTTCCTTGAAAAAAACTGTAAAAAAGTGACTCCAGAGGAGAGGACAGAAATGGCCCATAATTGTGCTTGCAGAAGTTCTGTCAGTTCTTTGAGGTAGGCCAAGTAATGTTGCCAGGTGTCCACTATTTGAGCGGACAGTCCGTTTTTTTCAC